AGTGCTACTACTAATAATAATCTGCTTCTGTTTCAGCCAGCAATTCCGACTCCATGGTTACTGGTCTGCTTCTGTGGCAGGGGCCTGGCTGCTTAGGACGCAGCCTGGCGGAACTCTGTTCCCATAGGTACCAGCTATGTCCTTTCCAACAAATAAAGCTTTTAATTAAACCTCCATCATTCTATTTATCAATGAGACTCGGGAGCCAAAGGCTGGGGTGAAACCCTGCCAGCTCAGAGGAGCTGAATAGCAACTAGCTGACCTCTCTTTGCCTGTGTCTCCAAAAGAGACCATCCTTCCGTCCTTCCCTCCTTCCACTCCACTCAGAGCCCCCCCCCACTGTTTCCTGTTCATCTCTCCCATGTTTTCCCACTTCCTGTGCATCTCTCTGACATCCTGTCACTCCGTGATTTTACTTCCTGTCAACTAGTCGCTAACTCGGCCTCCTGCCCCAAGGTTGATTTCTATTTAAATTAATGCAAATGAAAACAGTGTGATTGAATATCGTGCGACACCACACCTCCTAATCCTTAAGTAGTACTACTCCCTGGTGACCAAGTATTCAGATCTATGACCCTGTGGGGGCCATTCTCATTCACATCAGCGCACACAGCACCCACAGTCAGGAAGAAGGGAGAGATGGATGCTGGGTCCATGTGTGGCATTCTCATTCACATCAGCGCACACAGCACCCACAGTCAGGAAGAAGGGAGACATGGATGCTGGGTCCATGTGTGGCCATTCTCATTCACATCAGCGCACACAGCACCCACAGTCAGGAAGAAGGGAGAGATGGATGCTGGGTCCATGTGTGGCCATTCTCATTCACATCAGCGCACACAGCACCCACAGTCAGGAAGAAGGGAGAGATGGATGCTGGGTCCATGTGTGGCATTCTCATTCACATCAGCGCACACAGCACCCACAGTCAGGAAGAAGGGAGACATGGATGCTGGGTCCATGTGTGGCATTCTCATTCACATCAGCACACACAGCACCCACAGTCAGGAAGAAGGGAGACATGGATGCTGGGTCCATGTGTGGCATTTGTAGATGCCAGCCCAGGGTCACACAGAGGGCGGGTGTTTGAACCTCGTGAAACTGCTCTACAAGCTCCCACACAGACATACCTAGAGGTGTGGCAGCTGAATAATCCTAAATCCTGTCAAACTGACAATCAAGATGAAACACTTGTAAAGTGTAAGCCACACTGTCAGTCTCCTCTGGGCGCCCCATCCCTCCACCTGTCGCTTTTTATTAATGTATCAAGCGACTCACACCTGGGCCCAGCAGAGTCACAGAACCACACACCGGAGACCCACTTGGGCATGTGCACTTCGCTGGGCAGTGCTTAAGGAAACAAGCTGCTAGAGCGAGACCATCAAAGGTAGAGCCCAAACACTGTTGTTCCCATGGACAGTACGGGGTTTCGCCAGGACCTACAGGCTCAGAACTTTTTCCAACTGAGATAAAGTCACTTAGCATTGTACTTACCATTCTAATCATTTTAAAGTATACAACTTGGTGGGTTTTCAAAAACACATTAACAATGCTGTAGAACCATCACCACCGCCACTGACATTATACCAGCGGGGAAACACCCCCCACCCCACCCCCCACCCCACCCCCCACCCCACCCCCCGCACCTACTAAATGCCCCTCCCCCACTGGGCAGCGTTTTAACTTCTTGTCTCGGGGAATGAACTAATCCATTTCATAATTTCATATCAGTGGGTTCACTCTGGATGACCTTTAGCATGTGGCATAGCATGTTCAAGTTTTGACCATGTGGGAAAAGTACTTCATGGCTCTGGTCTCAGTAATATTTCAGTGCATGGAGGCGTCAGCTTGTTTACACACTCGGAGGCTGATGGAATCTGGATTATATTCATTCTGTTTTGAACGCTTCTACAAGCATGTATGTACACCTTTCCGTTTGGATGTATGTTTTCATTTCTCTCGGGTACTCATGTGTAGGAGGTGACCGCTGAGTCATGTGGGGAGGCGGCTGTCTGATCTCGGGGACAGTGCCAACTGTTTTCTGTGGGCTGCGCTGTGTAGCTTCCGCACCACGTGTGACACCCTAGTGTTTGTACATCTTCTCTGACATTTGTTTTTACCATCTGTCTGATGTGTGCGTGTATGTGTTTTTGTGCATGTGCACATATGTATACATATGTGTGGAAGTCGGAGGTCAGCCTCAGGTGTCATTCTTCAAGCACTGTCCACCTTATTTGTTTATTTATTATGTTACATGTCCATCCCAGTTCCCCCTCCCTGCCTCCCTCTTACCCTCTCCCACCTTATTTTTTCATGTGTTCTCTTTTTTTTTTAAAACCCACCCAGCATGTCTACTTAGTACTGCCTGTACGCACATGGGTGTAGGCCATCTACTGGATCATGGGAGCCTCTCAGGGGGTGCATCCTATAAGGTAGCCTTCACCGTTCCCGCCTTTCTTCCCCCTTTGTAGCCCAGGCTAGCCTCAAACTCGTGGCTCAAACTCAGTTTCCCCAAGTGCTGGGATTATAGGCATGCGTCACTACCCTAGGCTATCTCTTGAACATATTTCATTCAGGTTATTTAATCTTACCTGGTGAACCTGCAGCATAGGCTTCCTTGGGGACAGTTCATCTTAGTTGCTGTCTGCCTACATGTCGGTCTTCTTTAATCTTCATAGTGTTTGTAATTGTTGCTGTTGAAGGCTGGACATTTTGAATAGTGCAAGAAGCAGTTCTGGAAACCATATTCCCTCTCTGCAATTTGTCATGGTCACTGGTGTTTGTTTAAGGCATCGGTTTTGTAAATTCTGTGTGCCTTGCCTTGTCACACCTGGCCATAATGTCTCTGTTCCATTAGATTCGCAGAGGAAAAGCAAGCCCGCTCTTGGCAGATGGGCTGTGTGAGCTGGGGCCTTGGCAGCACTCAGCCAGGCGGCCTGACCAATGCTTCTGCTCACCTGCTTTCATGCCTAAAGGTCAGCCCAGAAAAGCACTGGAGGCTTTTTTGATATTTACTGTAAACACACAGCCCAGGCATATGTGTGGCATACTGAATCACAAAGCATTTTCCAATTCCTTATTCCCCAAGCACCTCATGTCCAGCCTGTCCTCTGAAGCTCTTGCTTGTTCCAATTGCAATCCGTTGCCTTAGGCAATAATAGCTAAAATGTCCTTTTACGAATGACTTTGACAGTCTTAAGCTGGCTGTATTGGCACCAGGCAGGTTTCTGCTGCGGGAGATAACAGCAAAGCCTTTGGGCCAGTCTTCCTGGAGCTTGGAAGGAGCTTAAGGGAATGGTAAGCCCTGGTAAGGTACCAGCACTGGTGTCAGTATTACAGGCTGTGTTTGTCAAGGACAGCATTGAGCTGGGAGCATGGGATGGACAAAGTGAATTCTCTGAACTAGGACCAGGACATTGACAAGATGAGTCCCCAAGCTGAGATCAGAGGGTGGCTATGGGGTGAGTCCCCCAAGCTGACATCAGAGGTTGGCTGTTACATGAGCTCCTTGAGCTCAGGGGTAGATGTGAGTAGATGTGGGTAGAATTGGAATAGGGTAGAGACACAGGGTAAGTCCAGTTGCTGTGAAAGGTCATTAAGATCCAGTTGCTTTCTCTTAAGGTCTTCATGGTCACTGACAGTTTTTGGTTAGTTCCAAAGTTCCACAAAAGTTGGCTCTGAAAGAGTTTTACCTGTTTTCCATTACCTTAAGGATGGATTTTGGAGTGCTTTATTGTGCAATGTATTTGTCACATAGGATGCTATGTTTGGGGCTAAGAAAATTCTTTCCTAGTATGTGTGCTGATAATTATCATTTTTCTGTCTGTCTGCCTGTCTGTCACTATGAAAACAGCTCTAAGTGTCTCTGCTGAACCTCTGCCCTCTCCATTACGTGGAGAAGGAAGGTCTGTAAACAGTAAATTGGAGAAGGTGGGAAGTCCTCTGGGAAAATGATCAGAATCCTCTGTGCAGTCCAAATCTTGGATGTTAGTAATGTTACCCCCACCCCGGTATAGAATCCTCCAGGAAAAGTGAGCCCAGTGGAGGAGAAAAAAAAAGAAAAAAGTGTATGCCAAACAGTTGGCATAGAAACCTAGAAGGCTCACAGACCATCTGAAGAATTTCTGTGGATACCAAACAGTTCCCCCAACTTAGAAATCAAGGCTGGCTGAAAAATCAAGCGCTGTGTGTTTCTGCCTTTCTCGATTGATTGGTGTTCCTCAACCCCAGCTGTGCAGCAAAATTACCTGGAAGTTTTGTTCCAAGCAGAGCAAACCACTGCCATCACAGAGATGTCAAAGATGCCTGAAGCTAGGCCTGTTGTGATGAAAAGCGCCGTGACATGTAGGCAGTTCCCCCTGTGATCACCAGGGTCCCAGACCCCCTCCTCTGTCTGTGAACATGCAGGCAGGGCTCTAAGAAAAACTGCCCTGATTTTTCATATACAATTATCATATCTTTACGTTTTCTTTTCCTTCCTACATCGTGCTCAGTGTTTCTCATTTGGCTTTAAATGTCTTTTTATAATTGGGTCCTTTAAATCCAGTCCAGAGAAGTGTACACACAGTGCATTTGCTGGAATTTCGTGTCTGATTCTAATTTATGGCAAGCCCCATTCCCCCCCCCACTTCTATTTTCCTCCTCTGTTGTTAAAGGGTGGGGTAGATGCTTGCTTTTTAAACACTGACCAGACCAGGGTGATCCAGACATGGGTTTGTAAAAAACCTTATGCTCCCAGATACACAGCAGGAACTCTGTTCATGTCTAAGGTTTCTTAAACCATTTCCATCCATGACCCCTCCTTGCCTGAGAAATTTTTATATGTCCCTGCATCTTTAGGAGATGAAGTAAGGTAAGGTATCCCCTGGAAAGTTTGGGGAAATCCCAAGTCTGGACAAGGTGTGCCAGATTTGGACCTGGGGACAAGAAGCTCCTGGTCCCCAGAACGAGGCGGGCTTCTCAGCCCTTAGTCCTAACATTCCGATTCCTCTTGCAGGCGCAGTTTCCTGATTGCAGCCGGCATATGGGGCCATGGCCCGGCTCCCGGGGCACCCGGAGGTCCCGGGCCCAGAGTTTGGCAGCACAGGCCGGGGAGGCAGAGGCGGTCGAGCAGCTCGGGCGCGACACGTCATTATCAACGTCGGGGGTTGCCGCGTGCGGCTGGCCTGGGCCGCGCTGGCCCGCTGTCCCCTGGCGCGCCTCGAGCGCCTGCGAGCCTGCCGCGGCCACGACGAGCTGCTGCGCGTGTGTGACGACTACGACGTGAGCCGCGACGAGTTCTTCTTCGACCGCAGCCCGTGCGCTTTCCGCGCCATCGTGGCGCTGCTGCGCGCCGGCAAGCTGCGGCTGCTGCGGGGCCCGTGCGCCCTGGCCTTCCGCGACGAGCTGGCCTACTGGGGCATCGACGAGGCGCGGCTGGAGCGCTGCTGCCTGCGCCGCCTGCGCCGCCGCGAGGAAGAGGCGGCCGAGGCGTGCTCCGGGCCACCCAGCCGCGGGCCGCAGGGGAGCCCGGTGCGTGCCCTGGGGACAGGGCGGCTGGAGCGGGGCCGAAGGCGCCTGCGCGATGTGGTGGAGAACCCGCACTCGGGGCTGGCAGGCAAGCTCTTCGCCTACGTCTCGGTGGCCTTCGTGGCTGTCACGGCCGTCGGCCTGTGCCTGAGCACCATGCCTGACATCCGAGCAGAAGAGGAACGGGTAAGTGTGGGCACCGGGTGTCGAGGCGAGGGCAGGACAGAGGGGCAGCCAGGATCATGGAGGCGTGGACAAAAGGCCACATCCGGCCCCCCCGGGGGGGGGGTGTAGCGACTCAGAGGACGCATGGCGAGTCATGGTTGTCCACTATGCCCCTGCCCTGGCTAGAGCTACTGGTTGCACGCCTTTCCCTCCCATGCCAGGTGAATGGTCAGGAGGGAGGGTCCAATGAGCATGGGGCTTCAAACTACATTGTTTCAAAGCAAGGACCCACAGCTGTTATCCTGGGGCCCTCTATGCAAGTCCAATAGCTCAGCAGGCAGTAACTACAAAGTCTGGACAAGGTAGAATTAAAAAAATACCCAGTGCCTTAAGGATCTAGAACAGCCATTCCCAACCTTCCTAATGCTTCGACCGTTTAATACAGTTCTTCATGTTGGGGTGACCCCCCAAAAAACATATTTTCCTTCCTATTTCATAACTGCAATTTTGCTTCTATATGAATCTGATATACAACCCCTGTGAAAGGGTCTTTCGAGTCACCCAAAGGGGTAACGACACACTTTGGGAACCACACTTTGGGTCTGGAGAGTTGTATGCGCCAAATCTGGATTTCCCAGGGTTAGATGCTTTTACGGAGAAACGAGGACTCTGATCTTGTTGAACAATCTGTTTCTCGTCCTCTTCTCTCTGTCTTGCTCACCAATCCTGGATTGTAGCACATGAAATGTAGACAGGTCTGGTACTTGTGCTTAGCCAGTTCTCATGACCGGAGAGAGGAGAGAAGACAACTCAATTTAAGAGCATTTGTGGTCGTCTGGAGACAATGGGAAAAGACATTATGTAGCAGACTGGATTGGAGTCTGTGTTTGCAGGTGTTGGGATTCCTACAGACCTGGGTATTCTGTAGTTGAAATTAGCTGAGTGCTACTCCAAATCCTTCCAGCCCCTTCGTTAGACACCCTTCTGTCCCCCTGAGCAGATACTCCCAACTTCCTCACACTGACACCCCTCCCTCGGACAGAGCTCTTGGGCCACACTCCGTGGAGTCCTATACTGTCCCCGTCCATCCCCGGTGCTTATCTAATAGGATATCTCATTCTTAGAAGCCAAACTGACCAAAAGCATGGCAGCCCTGACTAATGTAAACTTAAGGAAATCGGTTAGTTTGCTTCATTATTGAATGTCCCAAGCCTAAGTGCCATTTTAAGTAGTCATGAGTTTCTGGTTCTGCTTCTGATACCTGAGGCATAAAGTCTGACTCGGTGGTGAAGCATTTGCTTCGTTTACACAGTGTGTATGTGGACAGTGGGAGGGGGCAGTCAAAGTGTTGGATTTTTATGTAGCAGTGACTCCATATATTACTCGGGACAAAAGTCATTTGTGAAACAATGGGAAACAGAAGTTAGGGGTGCCTCATCTAGCGACAACAGATCTGGGGAAACTCGAGCCCCAAGTCCTCTGGAAACATCTGCTTGCATCCGGGCTCTCCCACCATCCTAATTCAGTTACTGGACCAGGATTTTTCTTCTGGGCCACCAACCAGATCCCAAATCATGACACAGAGACTTTTATTAGTCTTGAATGCTCGGCACGTTTCTTAAGAGGCTAGCTCTCTTAACAACCTGTTTCTCTTTATCTACCTTTTGCCTCAGGCCTTTTTACTTTTCTTTGCTTCTGTATATCTTACTTTCAGTGCTTCTCATGTCTGCTGGTTGGTGGCTGCCTGGCTTCTTGCCCGGGGCATGTCCCTCATTCTCTCCTCCTCTCTCGTCTACTCCCTTCTCCTTTTAGATTTCTCCCATGTATTCTCTCTGCCTGGAAGCCCTGCCTAACCTTTCTCCTGCCTACCTATCAGCCTTTCAGCTTTTAATTGGATCAGGTGCCTTCGGCAGACAAGGTGAAACAAATGTAACACATCTTTACATAATTAACCACACACCCTTACATCATTTAACAGATGCATCATAAACAAACGGAACCCGCCTTTCTAAATGTGACACTTTTTTTTACATAGTTAAAGTAATATTCAACAACAGGTTGCAATTAAAAAGTGGTGGCCCCTGTTGGGAGCAGCATCTTGCCAAGCCCACATTGTTATAGAATGGCCTCGCACAGTCTCTTTGGAAAGCTGTTGGCAACAGAGAGCTGTAAAAAGACCGTTCTCTGGAATCTCTCTTTAGGATCCAAGGATGCTTTGACACCTGCTCCCTGGCATGTTAGTGACACAATGGACACCAGAGAATGTCCTTCCCATGTCCCAATTGGATCCAGATGGGTACATTCCCTCTCTGCCTGGGATGGGATAAAGCCATGGAATATCAATAGCTCATCTGGAAAATAGCTCTCTGCTCAGCATAACCAAATAGCTGCCGACCCTCCTCAGAGTAAAACTGTGGCTTCAATGTAATCAGAATAAGTTCTCTAACTTGTAGCTTGGGCCCTCGTGCTCAGGACACTGGGCCAGCATGAGTATGAATCTCACCATCCTGCTAGCACTTTTGCTATTGAAACATTAGTTCCTGAGAGAAGTAGTTTTGACACATTGTGTAGAGTCTAACTGCCCGGGGGTGCTTGGTACGCAGAGTTCTGTCAGGCTCTTGTGAGTGGACGGTAGGAGCCTTAGCTCCCCTTACACCATACATGTGGCACACCTTAGGGGACCTTGACATGGAAGCTGCACAGAATGGCCCTCTGGGGTCTCTAGTGCGCCAGAGAGCAGAGTGGCTGCACCTCTATCTGTGCCATGATCAGAGGGAGGAGCACTTTGGAAATGTCTGCCTTCTGCATGCACTAGGTGCCACATAACTGGCAAGGTGTGATCATCCCTTGGGAGAAAAGGCCGTTCTAGCCCATCAGCTGTTCTATTGTTAGTAATGCACACAGAAAATTTGCCATCTTGCCACATTCTGGCATGCACCATTGATGCTGCACACACTCGCTGGTGTGTGAATCTTACATGCCCACCTAGACGTCTCTGTCTTCTTAAGGGCAACAGAAACTCTGTCAGCAGTCACCGAGTGGAGAGACTGTGAGGTTGTTATACTGGGAGTACAGAGAACATCGCAAAAGCAGGGGTAGTGTAGCTCAGTGGCGGGGCACTTGCCGAGCATGTCTGGGGCACTAGGTTAGGTCCATAGCACCGCCAAGGAAAGGGGAGGCAGGAAAGGAAGGGAGGAGTAGGGAGGAGAGGACAGAGAGAGGAAGATCACAGAACCAAAGAGCATATCGCCCTCCATACTGTGAAGCGGTAAAGCCATGAAGATAGAGACTAGAGAGGTGGGTTCTGGGGGCTGGGGAGGGTTTGGGGAGCTGCCATCTGCTAGGATCGCAATCTCAGTATGAGAAGATGAAGATAAGGCTAGATGGTGTGCTGGCTGTACAACACAGTGAATTTACCTGCGTTGATGGCCCCTTGTCCTGGTGGGCACTGCTGGAGGCCAGCAGACAGACACAGAACATAAGGTCAGAGTAGTCCAGGGTCCGAACATATAGCAGCAAAGTCCTGTGGTGCTGAGTAACAGGCTTGTCCTTCTGGGAACATCTGAGGGCCACGAGGTTATCCTTATGTGGGCTAGAGTTGGGGCCCACACTCAGACTGACCAGGACTCCATAGCCTCCAGAACCCAGCACAGATACTTCTACCAAGCAGTTGTCATGGCAACACCCCCCTGTACCTTGATGAGTTATCCTTGGGTCAACAGTATGCGCAGTTGCCAGACCTCCCCTAAAGCTTAGCTCTCCTGCCCTCTTCAATGAAAGAAGCATGTCTGAGTGGTTGAGAACGCCCTAGGGAGTTTGGGAGGCCATAGCTGGCCCTTGGTCTCTTACCCTTCTGCTCTATCCTACCTAGGTGCAGAGGTCTGAGGGGTGAGCAGGCAGAACTCGCCGGCTTCAGATGAGACCTTAGTTAGGACTCATAACCCACAAGCCTAAAGTGTTAGCCATAAGGTTGATAGTGCTACGCCTACTTAGCAGGGAGAGTGGGTTAAACAAGATTAATTGGGCACCACAGATAACACTGACTGGGAGCTGTATGAGGGGTCTGGAGAAATGATTCAGTGGTTAAGAGCACTGGCCACTCTTCCAGGGTGCTGAGCTCTAAGAAATGACACGACAGATCACAACTGTCTGTAACTGCCACCTCAGGGGACCAGACACCTTCCTCTGACCTCTGAAGATACTACAGGCATGCGCCATACACATATATGATGCAAGCAAAACACCCATTTTAAAAAAAATACAAGGGAAATTTTATACCTACCTTGACCAATCAGAGACTCTCCTCTACCAAGTAATCACTAATCTCTCATAACTTTGGGAAGGAATTAAGTGAGTCCTGTAAATTTCAGGAGCTTCTTGAGCCTTGTAAGTAAACTACTTCCTAAATCCTATGAGCCTGCCTCTGAACTCTAGGACAGAATATTTCAATTGGGAGGAGACAGCTACATGACACCCGAGTCCTTAGAGACAGACGCCGAGGACAGTGGGGTTAAGAGAACCAGCATGGGCCCTGACTATGACTGGCCCTGTTTACTACGGAATCATTGGGAAGTAGATGTCATCTGAGAACTATATCCACAGGGTCAAGAGGTAACAGTGGAAGGCATGTGCTCTTCTCTGGGGTTGTGAAGGTGCTCTTGTTGGTAGGAAATGCATAGGAGTCAGGCTCTGGGCCAGGAAGGTATGTTGTAGTGTCTGTTCTGAGTGATTCACACTTTGAAGAAAGGGTGCACAGACAATTTTATGCCAGCAGCGAGCTGCAAAGTTCCTTCTGTGCGGTGGTGGCTGCTGTGTTGCCTGGAGACAGATCTAAGCGCTTGCCTGGGCCCTGGCGCACAGCGGGGACGGGCTGTGCTTGCCAGCCTGCCTGAGAACAGCCTGTCGCTGGTGAAGGCCCATGGGGTGCAGGGTGCTTTTTAAATCCATCATTTCCCTTTTATGTTGCGCTGTGTGACTGTGCCAGCCAGTGTTTCCTTTTGGTCACATGATTAAATTAAGGC